TGGGATGGGGAGTGGATGAAGAGCGGGATGATGGATGGTAGGATGGGGAGTGGGATGGGGATGGAGTGGGATGGGGATGGAGTGGGATGGGAAGTGGGATGGGGATGGAGTGGGATGGGGAGCAGGATGGGGAGCGGGATGATAAATTGTGGGATGAGGAAGTGGGATGTGGATGGAGCAGGATCAGGAGTGGGATGGGGAGTGGGATGAGAAGCGGGATGATGGATTGTGGGATGGAGAGCGGGATGGGGATAGAGCGGGATGGGGAGCGGGATGAGGAGCAGCATGGGGATGGGGAGTGGGATGTGGATGGAGTGGGATGAGGAATGGGATGGGGAGTGGGATGGGGAGCGTGATGGAGATGGAGTGGGATAGGGAGTGGGATGGGGATGGAGTGGGATGGGGAGCGGGATGGGGAGTGGGATGATGGATTGTGGGATGGATCACCCATGAGGATGCAGCCTCCCCACCCACCCACCCACCCACCCATTTGTTTTTGTGTCCCCCTGTAAGCCCCCAAATTCTGATTGGGGGTCCCGAAGGTGCTGCACATCTCACCCTGCTGTCCCCTGCAGTGTCCCACACGGGGGTCTCAGCGAGTGACCCCTGCCCCATCCCATTTTCACCCCACCCCATTTCCTCCCTTTTTTCCCCTCCTCCCCGTTACCCGGATCACACACAGCATGCCAGCGGCTCGGGGAAAGGCGCTTTTTAAAGAAATCACCAAAAACAGTGCCCCAAATTTGGGCTCCCGACACCACACTCCGCCACCAGGATGAGTGGCCTGGTTTGTGTGTGGCTCCCACAGAGGTGGCACAGCCCACGTCCCACCCATGGGGACAAACCCTGCTCCTGGCATCTCCTTCACCCCCAGGGACACTTTGGGAAGAAGGGCAGACTCATTTGGAGGCTTCATTCCCACCTGAAAATAGGATTCCTGTTTGGGACGGGTGCTTAAAACAAATCCTGGTGGGTGGTTCCAGTCCCCAACCTTGTCACCTTGCCCTGAGGGGAGCAGCCAGGGCATGGGGTGACACAGAGTGGCTTTTTGTCCCCGTGGAACACCCACCTGTATCTCCAGCTGCTGTACCACTTGCATCTGGACTCGACACTGGGCCGTGCTTCGGTCATCAAGTGCATGTTCTGTGTTGAGGTGTCTGGGGAGGAGAGCACGGGGGTTTGGTTTGGCCTGGACGCACCCCAAACTCAGCCCCTTTGCTGGGGCCACACACCCCAAAATGCAAATTGCTCAGGGATAACCCAGCAGGGTGAGTGCCAGGGAAACTGAGGCACAAAGGGGAGACTGTGCCACCACCCCAAATCTGGGCTATAGGGTGGCTGGGACACTCTGTTGGGGTCACA